TGGATAGATACAAAAACACTTTTATGTTACATAGACATCAGTGAGCATAAACTCCGTGCTTAGGATGGTTATACAACCATCTCACTTAAAAAAGGATAATGTAGTGAGTTCACATACACACACATACCCCCCCACACACATATATACTTTAACACACATTCACACACTGGGAAAAAACACGCACGTAGTAGCAGCAAGGTTTAAGGCTCTGTCAAACTCTAAATGTATGGGAGTTCCAGATTGGTCAAAAAATCCTCCAATCATGGCTCATCTTCCTCCTACCTTAGTGGGAGATATGATACTCTTTTCGCACCCAAGACATGGACAGACAACAAAGACTCATCTGTCCTCTTCTTATACGACATACTGAACCTTTTTGAAAGCAGGACTTGGTGACAAAATGGTATAGAGCACTTTTCACATGTTTGATACTGTTGCACGTAGTAAATCATTTAAATTCATCAGATGTGAATGTTGGAGCATTATTAAAGACAAATGGTTCTCTAATACCATATGTTAAGAACATGGCCATCAAAATATCCACTCTTGTAGTAACTGGATGTTGGATGTAGGAATTATTTCCACTCATATGGAATGGACATCAGCTGGCCACACGGAACATTGATTCTTAAAAGGAACCTGTGTAGTCAATGTGTATTCTCTACCAAGGGTTATCCAGTCACTTCCAGGGGTGTAATGGAGCCTTGAATGGGTCTGGCTGGGAAGGGAGCACATCATGCACAATTTTACTCCTGCTTCAATATCTTTGTCCAGATAGGACTACCAGAAAGTTATTCTGGCCATGTTTTTCATTCTAATGACCCAGAGATGGCCTCTTAGTTTTTCTGCTATTATGACTCTTGCGTCCCACAGCACACCGGTTTCATAGTATTTTTTTTTATGGAAAGTAAAAAGTTTGTTTGGCATGTTGTTTTCTGGCCAACCATTTTGCACATAGAGAATAACATGAGACAGAACAGGATCATTTCTTAATGTCTTGACAATTGCTGTTGCACTGATTAGACTCAGTTGCTCTATTTCATTGTAGAAAAGTATATCACCATCTTTATTTATATCTGAAAGTGGTAAACATGACAGACCATTAGAATTTGCTTTATCTCTACAAAATTCAATGCTATAATCAATACTTGTGAGGAAAACAGCAACTCTGTGGTCCTGCTATTACTTCTCAAAAAAGAAAATCATAAAAAAGATCAGAACAAATTTAGTAGGGCTCGCAATATAGTAATTGTTTACAATTCCCTACCAATCTCAATCACCCACAACCTTTCTTATCCCAATAAAAGAATGCTACTTTCGACAACTGGGGTCTTAATTTTTTTGTGAGTGAATTGATTGATTGGTTTGTTTGTTTTCTATGGCTTATCAACCCTTTGTACGTATTTAAAGCCAGAAAATATTTTTAGAGTGTAAGAATTTTTTTATATAATAATGGTTTAATGATACAAGTCCTACTAATTAACCCATAGCTGGAGGAGAAGAGGCAGATTCACACCTTTCCTTAGGTTATTTTCATGTAAGTGAATATGACAAAACCAACAGGAATTGGAACTTAGCTTGCTGATTAACAATTACACATTGCTTAACTTTGATGATCCTACGAGAACTAGTGTTTCAACTTAATGTGGCTATAAGCCTTCAAGAGTGAAGAAGGTAGTTGCGTGTCACGAGTTTTGGATGCAGATTTTTTACCCCTTTCTATTTAAACCGCAGACATTTTTCATTTTAGACTCACAAGACTCATTTCCTTGGAATTGCGATTCCATATTTTTTTTTGTATTATTTTGGATCTGAACCTCCCTATTGTTATTTTCTCCCACGTTTTTACTGATTTAGAATTCATGGCGATATTGACAAATATTTTTGCCCAGACTTTCTATATGATATAATTCAAATTCATTATCTCTTCATTTTCTTGTAACTCACGAAAACTTTTGTTTTTATCTCTTTTTTTTTTTTTTTACTTTGACAGGAGAAATTAGTCCCCGACTGTATATGACATCTTTTTGAACTGCTTCCTTGAAATAGTTATTAATTTGCATGTTTGTGATGAGTTTTACCACAAGAATTGTAAGGGGAGAAAATTGACATCTTTCTTCGTCTTAGGTCGTCTCCCTTTGATTATACCAGCATCCCTATTCTTAAAATCTATTTCGTTGTGTTCTACATCTGCGTTTATTTCATTTGTATCTTTTTGAGCCGTTTCCAATTCGATAGCAATTGCACATTTCTTGTCAAATGTTAAAGGCTCTTCTTGTAAAAGTTGCTTTTCATTGGCTTCACACTTTAACACGTATAGTATAGTCTAAAGCATCTCTGAGATAAGTACCGATGTTAGTGTATTGACAATTGAGTGTTTGTTTAACGGCATATCAACTCCTTATGGGTCATTTAATGCCGAAATCTAAATGTTTCGAACACAATTTGATGGCTTCAACTACAGATAAAAATAAAATTTATTGTTGGTCGTTTTGCTATAAAATGTATTGTTGGCAATCTCTATCTATAAAAGTCAGGATGTGTGTGTATGTAACGAATGCACGGCCGAAATTTTCGACGGATTTGCACCAAAATTTACATGCACATGCTCCAAGTTAGTAGGAAGGCCAAGACCGACTTTGCATTTCCAAACTCCCATCGATAGTGGAAATAATCGATTTTTTCATGCTTCTGCGGCAGTTTTCATGTAGTTTGCGGCCATTTTGTACTGGCCAGAGTGAGAGCCAATAGCTGGCTGCCACGAATAGGCAGGAACATTCTATTGGCCAGCGTGAGAGCCAACAGCTGACTGACACGAATGTTAACTAGCATGCTAGCATGCAAAAAAAATTCGATAGCTGCATTCGTCACAAGTGGGAAAAATTTAAATCTGCATGGCACATTACTCCAATTGGCTCATTCGCTTGCTTAAACTCAACGTTGATTCTGATTCCGCAGAACTGGGTTGTGTGTGAAAAAGTATTTGTTGTTAAAGAACTGGGTTGTGTGTGAAAAAGTATTTGTTGTTAACATTCTTTTTTCATTCGGTTTTTCCAGTTATGAGTCCTTTTTTAAAGCTGATCTTTTTGTGTTCATTTTGTTTAGTTCTTTTTTCGTAACTGATTTAATGTTTAGTATAGAGCTTAGAAAAAATTCGCAGTGTGAGATAGGCAAGAAGTAAGGCATGTAGCAACATCAGCACGGCAAAGGACACTCCTTTAAAGGCAAGGAAGGGCAAAAATATTTTAAGTTAAGTGATAGCGATTGCTGTATGAGTCGTACGATTTTTGAATCAAGCACGGGCAACGCCGGGCCATGCTGCTAGTTTTACTATAAAAATGTATACTTTCATAGTGTTTTTCTTGGGAGGTGTCACTATTTTCCCAAGGCTGTGACCCTAACAGCTGCTACCATTTCGTGTTAGGGTGGACCTGGGAACAGCAACAATTAAGAGATGGCTCCCCGGTCCTCAAAACCTCCAATCTCGTGATCAGAGACCTTGCTGCCGGATGTAGTTTATCACCATACCCAGGAGTAACTGCAATAAAGTCTGATACTGATTCAGAGTTCCCTTGATTCCTCGTATGGAATCTGTATCGTTCCATTATTTCAAGAGGCTTCAAGTCAAAATGCTGTTTAGTTTAAAGTTTATTAATGTGCATATAGCATAATTGAATGATAGATGTATTTTTTTTTTTTTTTTTTTTTTTTGCTTGATGGCAAGTCTGGAAGAGAATTCGCTCGTAGTATTGCATTGGTCTTTTGACCTATAGCTGACAAGAATTGGTATGTTTGTTTTCTAAAACATCATTTGCAACACTATTTACATTATTCGGATTATTGTCCTCATCTTTGTTGCCATATTTGCCACAACATCTCGGCTGTTGCACGCTCCGGCCTTCTTCAGATGGTTGGAATATCGAACTGAACCCTTTATTTCGCTCGCTTGGGTAGACTGTTCTAGTTCCACGTGCCATGTCTAATGGATGTCAGTTATCTCCTGTTAATTCACCTCTCAAAGTTCTCCACTGTCTTCTTAACCAGGTATTGAACTCAACTCTTTGAAAACCGTATAACTTTTTGAAAAACATGCAATGATAACAGTAAAAATTGCAATATGAGCACTGGGAAAAATGGTTGCATAAGACATTAGGTTTATAAGTCTCAGAAATTCATACACAGACGTCCTTAAAGACACATGACACAGTGGATATAGGCGTTGGTTAGATCCAGTGACAGGACCCAAAGAGTGTGTAGTTCAATACCTGGTTAAAGCGATGGAAAACTTGGAGAGGGGAATTAACAGGAGATAACTGCCATCCATTAGACATGGCACGTGGAACTAGAACAGTCTACCCCAGCGAGCGAAATAAAGGTTCAGTTCGACATTCCTGAAGAAGGCCGGAGCGTACAACGGCCGAAACGTTGTGATAAATATGGCAACAAAGATGAGGACAATAATGTAAATAGTGAACATAATACCTCATCTCAGAAATATAGACAGATATCATTTGCAACAATGTAGGCATCCAGATAGTTTTGACTTTTGAGAATATGTTCTGGAAGAATGACATCTTCAACGAAACATTTTTCGTTTTTTAGCGTAAATGTCAAAAAAATATAGCAATAAATTATAATTTACCTTTCAACCTGCGTGGAAGTTCACTTTTTGAAGTCTTGGGAATATTTTGTCGCCACTTGACATGTGTTAATAAACTGTAAGGCAGTAACCGATGTTGAACAGTAAATAAAAAGACAACGTGGAATCATGGTACAGACATATTTATTCCGGAAGTAGCAGGAGAGGTTGGTGCCGCTGAAGAATTTCACGCTAGTGCTGTCGCTTTTAGTATGGAAAAAAATGGTCTGAGGGAAGGGAAGAAATATACAAGACTTAGAGAGGTGGAGGCAAGACGAAAAATTGGCATCAGTCAGCAGATTTTTTCCTGACTAAAAACTTCCATCATACCGGTTTCAACAAAAATTCTCCTCCCTAAAAGGTTATTTTTGCAGAGATCTTTTTACGTACGTATTCCATTTTTTAATTTGTTTTTCTAACAATTGGTTAATGTTTATCAACCATCAACTCAAATATTTCATAATTCTTCTTTTTATTGTGTTAAGAAATGAAATTTATGCCTGGCGTGTCTGTCTCTCTTCCTCCCAACCACTGTTACAATTATTCATGAAAATTGAAAACTGTACACGTAAAAAATGTTGGTGAGAAATATTAAAGTTAAAATTTAAAAACGAAGGCGTTACTTAACTGGTGCACTCATAAAAAGGAAAATTTTTTTTGTCGTGGGAAATTTTTATATTAGCCTTCTTTAGACTTTCCTTGGGTTGCGGCACTTGTCAGAATCGAAAAATTTTGATTTGGTATCATTTAAAAAGGGGGTGGGTCCTACAGTGTCAAATCGATCCCTGATTTTTAGAGCGATATTGGCCTTTAAAGGTTAAGTCACTCAGCTGTTATCTACAAATATCAAGTTTGAAACTGCTAAAACATCTTTGATATCTACATATTTCCTTAATTTTTTCTTTTTTTAAAACTTTAATCTAAGTTTTAACTTTTTATGGGATTTTTTCGAAAACACATGTACAAACATTTGTAATTCATAATTATCTTATTTTATTAAATTAATAATTAATTTATGTAAATTTGTTTTTTAAAAAATGAATATATAATCCTTTCGTTATTTGAGAAATCTAAAACGCTACCTAAAAAAAAAAAAAATATATCATTTTGACATGATATGGGTTTTAAACTAAACAGTAGTACCCGACCCCCTTCTAAATCGAGAACAAGTCAATATTTTTCGGTTTTGACAAGAGTCGTGGCTTAAAAATAATTTCTAAGAACGCTAATCTATCTTCAATTTTTTTTTTTTAAATAAGTTCACGAATTTTAGGTATTGCTAAAATAAAATTTAAAACCGACATTTATAATTTGTATGAAAATATTCAAATTAAATATTTTCATTATTACTTTTAATTTTCTTTTATTGCTGCTACCGCTAATATTGCTAATTCAGAGGTCGTTACATTCTACGACCGTTCATAAAGTAAGCGGTACAAAGTGTAATGCAATGGTGAAAAAAATTACAATGAAAGCTTAAAAGTTAAAAATGAAGCGCAGAGCTCATTTAAAATAATATTTATTCACTTTATTTTTTAATTTGGTTTGAAACATTTTTTACTTTGTATACTTACCATCTTTGAGAAGGAAGGCAATTTGGATTTAGGGTAGAGAGGCTACACAGACAAATTAATTTTTTTGTGCCGTAGTCGCAGACACAAGCAAAAAAAACAGATTGACTTCAACTTAATATTTTTTCTTTTTTTTTTTTTTTTTTTAAACTAATTGAAATCAACGTTTGTCAGAAAATGTCTTAAGGTTATCAAATAGTTATTGAAGTCAATATTTCCGGTTTTATAAAAATAGTTAATGAAAGAATAAATTTCAATTCTTCATTGCAACGGACTTTCTTTTTTTTTATCTCGACTTGCAAAATATTGAGAATTAATGAATGCTTACGGAAAATCATTTCACAATATGTATTACAGAATATTTGCTTTAATAATTTAATAACTTTTTTTATGCAAAAAAGAATAAAGGGCGAAACTATATTACTTTTTTTTTTTTTTGGTGGGGGGGGATTTGAATTTAAATCAAATGAAAAATACTAGCGTTCTTTTCTCTCTAAGTGTAAAGCAAACTTCTTTTTACCATTTTTTTTCCTCCTTATTTTTTCTTACAAAAAAAATGATGTGCTTGATCCTTGATTGTTTACGAGCTCATAAACAATTCCTAAAGTGTGGTCAGTTCTATCAGCCTATAATTTCTTTATAATATTGTCAACTTTTTGTGCCAAATTAAAACAGCAAATCAAATTACTGCGCCTACCCTACCCTAGAAAGCTTATAGCAACCCCCAAGGTTTATTTAGTGTGGCCCTCTGCTACATAGTGAACAAAAAATAAAGATAGAAGAAGTTCTTCCTTCAGGTTTAGTGAGATAAAATTTTTCTTATGAGTTTATACTAGAGTTTAAAAAATCTACATCAGTTTCTAGTATCTAATTATCATGCTATTCTGATTTAGTGAAATTTACTATAATGAATACATTGTAAATTTCACTAAATCAGAATGATATACTTAGACTATTTTTTTATTAATCTTGCCGATAACAAATTTTGTTCAACATCCTAATGATTTATGTTGCAGAGTTTATGAGTATTGATTCAAAGAATTATTATCAGAAGGATTTTGTTAATTATAGTTGATTAGTCTGCGTGAAGAAAAAAAAACTCTACAAACATTTAATTTTTTGTTGTCCGCCTCTGGCACAAGGCCAATAATATTTTTTTTTATAAAAATGATAAAACGATTCCTTTTGTTTTTGTATGTGAGAAAGAGATATTCGAAATTATATACATTCAAAGAGAATATCTTTTGAAACGTTTTTGTTTTTTTTTTTTTTTTGTTTTTTTTTTTTTTTTGTTGTTTGCTAACGGGAAAGTTCACTATTTTCTATTAAAAGATATTGTTCATAAATATTTCTATGGCCGTGAATATTACAGGAAACGGTCTTTTGGTTTGAAGCATTTCAATGTAAGATTGGATGTTTTTGATTTGTTTCCTGTTAGTGTTTTGTATGATTGTTGTTAAACATATAAATTCCATTTACTTGTGCAATTTCTCTTGTTTAATGTGTTACTTCTTGTTTCATATTTTGTGGTAATTTGCGTAAATATAAATTAGGGGTGATCCAGTAAAACCCCTACAGAATGATCATCCCCTACAAATTCTCTGATTAATTTCTTTGCACTCTCTTACTTAACCTAACGTAATTACAATGGCTCCGTGGGCAAACTGGTAGCGGCACACCATAGCTTGACGCCCTTACTGATTACTTGCAAGAAGATCTCGCCAGTGGCGTAGCTAGAGTAAATGTCACCCCAATGACCCCGATTCACCCTATGCTGAATGGTTAGCTGTAGCTAAATTTTCATACATGCTCTACCTCTACTTTACTCTACTGACCGGTACGTTACTGTTTACATGTATGATCCAAGACAAAACCCAATACCACAAAATAATCAGTTCAAATCAAAAGATTTTTAAAATGTAACTGTTCACTTTCAGAACAACTAAATACAAAACACGGCAATAAACAAAAGAATGACATTCGATGCTATGGTCTTAGAATTAATGTTTTCTTGTTTTCATTGTGGCAAACTGGTCAATGACATCGACAAAATCTGTTTGTCTTGTAAGCTCGTTTTCAATGGACAGCACAGCCAGATCCGACAGTCTTGACTGGCTCATGGTTGACGTAATTTTCTGTTGCTAATTTTCCGGTGCATCACTTTCTGGGTACCATTTAATTATCAATGATGTTTGAAAGTATTTTTCTTGACAAAAATGTTCTATTTAATTTTTAAACATTTTTCGGAACATTGTAAATCAACTACATTCTTTTAAAGGTTACCAAGAGAATTTATGCAAAGTTTATTTTTTTGTTTTTCTTTATAAATTTACATCGTATTTTGATGTTATTATTTTAGTTTTAGTGATAATTTAAAAAACAAAAATATTTATCATTAGTACCAATAATGGAAAATTAAGTTAAAAATTTAAAAGAATCGTTTTTGGAATCGGAAAATAGGCACATTTTTCCGATACCCCAAAAAGTTCCGATTTTCCAATTCTCGAATCCGATTCCGATTAATCGTCCCAACACTAGTAGATATATTCAAAAGTATATATCGCTCAATGGAAAATTGTATCTAAGCGAATTGATACACAGGCAAGACTGAAATTGTTGCACTTTTGGCTTCGTATTTCGCTTTGATGTTATTAATGATGCAAAAACACCACATCATCCGATAAAATGTTACAACAATGTCTCATGTTAGTAACTAAGATTGTAACAACTGAAACACATGAAAGCTGAAAACATTGCTATTTTTCTTACTCACAAATTTACCGACAATTTATTAGAAAATTTCTGACGGGGGGGGGGGACAAAACTTGGGGGGGGGTCATATGCCCGCCTGCGAAACCCTGTATCTCCACCACTGTTTTCAGACTATTTTGGCACCTTAGCCTGGTTGAAAAATTTTTGTTGGGTGTGACATTGTCACCCCTCCTGTGCTAGCACCAAGGCAGTCCGCCTCCACCCCCCGTTAGCTACGCCACTGGATCTCGCACTTCTGACAAATCTTTGTTTTCTTGTTTTTTCCTTTTCACTTCACTTTGCTTTGGGTCTGCGCACGTGGATTCGTAAACCTAGTATGCATATATATATATATATATATATATATATATATATATATATATATATATATAATATAGATGTGTGTGTGTATATAAAACTTGCTTTGTTCTGAGGTAAATTTGACGCAAATTTGCTGAATATTTTAAAATTAAACAAAATTTAATCACTTTCAATAAAACCAGAGTGCTTAGCATGGAATAAAATATTTTCTTTTATTAGTTAACCTAAAAACTGAACTCTACCATTATGCACACATTTTCCTACGAGTACAACACTTACATCTTTTGAACTTTCAGGCATAATTTGTCAATACTTTGTTGGGATTGTAGGGACATTATTATTATTATAAGCAAAATAAGATAATAATAATAATGAATATTATAAATAAAATGAAACAAATAACGTGTAGTGGATCTAAGAAGACTGCGTGAATATTTTAATGTTGTCGGAGTTAACTCCTCCTTAATTTCCTTATTGTTCACTAGGGCACACTCTCCCTAAACTACAAATACTGGGTGATTTCTTGCCCCGTTCTCTTTTTACTTTGCATTTCAGCGGACACATTTACAAAATGTGATCTCTCGTTCTGCGTTTTGCCCACTTGTGAAACATACACATACACACGAACATTCATCAAAATACAAACTCTTTACGTCCACGCACAAACACAAATGTTGATGTCTTTGTCCATTGTAAATGTTGTTGTTTTATACATACATACACACACACACACACACACACAT